ATATCAAACATTCACCCCTCTGGCGTTTTGCGCTATAGGGGTTGAAAGTGCGCCATTGGCGATTACTTGGTACCTATTGATTTTACAAAAAAATGTTTCAAATAAAAGATGTGCAACATTAATTGATCTACAATGTTTATCTAAAGACTTTTTTGATTAAGGGCTGTCTGTGGTCATAAGGGCCGTTTGAAATTTTATAATGAAAATGAAACATTTTAACTAACGTGAAAAAAATGTCTACAATACATACAACATTTTTGCTTGATGAAGTTTTTACTCACCCCCTGCCGTTTTTCAATAGGGGTAGTTTAAAGTTAATTTATTTTTTTACAAAAAAAAATTGCTAATAAAAGTTCTATAAGATTACATTTCCTACAATTTTTCCCAATCAACTTTTTTTGTAACTCACCCCCATTCAGCGGAGGGACACTTCCCTCGGGGAAATTTTAGTTTTTAGGGGTATTGTACAGGGTGGTCCAAATTGGAAACTTTCTTATGGAAACACCCTTTATTTTTAGAGATAGAAAAAAATGGACCCCCACTCTGAGGCTCAAATTACATGAAATCTTGATTGGTGCAAACCGCATTTTGATATTTTCAACCGTTTAGCCGCTAGAGGGCGATTCTCGATTTTGAGCAATACTGTAAAGCCTCCATAACTTTTTTGTTTATGAAAATAATTCATTTCGGTAATGACCTTTTGGAAGCACTTTTTCAAGCAGAATTCAGTGACGTTCTCAGTTTTTTTCTGTCTGGCTTTGATTTCGAGATATTGACCAAAATTCGATTTTTTTCAATAGGACACCCTATATATTAATAGTTCATTAGAAAGCTATGCTTTCGCTGATTTCAATGATATAAAGTTCGATAGGTTTACCTCTACCTAACAGTTTTCGAGAAAAAAATTATTTCGGCTTTTGTCATAAGAAACAATGTGTTAGAAAGAGACCTTTCTCAGTTTCCTTACATAAAGTCCTTTTCCAACACATTGTTTCTTAAGACAAAAACCGGAATAATTTTTTTTCTCGAAAACTGTTAGAGATAAACTTATCGAACTTTATCATTGAAATCAGCGAAAGCATAGCTTTCTAATGAACTATTAATATATAGGGTGTCCTATTGGAAAAAATCGGATTTTGGTCAATATCTCGAAATCCAAGTCAGACAGAAAAAAACTGAGAACGTCACTGAATTCTGCTTAAAAAAGTGCTTCCAAAAGGTCCTTACGGAAATAAATTATTTTCATAAACAAAAAAGTTATGGAGGCTTTACAGTATTGCTCAAAATCGAGAATCGCCCTCTAGCGGCTAAACGGTTGAAGATATCAAAATGCGGTTTGCACCAATCAAGATTTCATGAAATTTGAGCCTCAGCGTGGGGGGTCCATTTTTTTCTATCTCTAAAAACAAAGGGAGTTTCCATAAGAAAGTGTCCAATTTGGCCCACCCTGTACATACTATATTAATTTTTTTTTCTTTTCTCGCCTTTAGTGCATATAAAAATTTACAATTAACATTGTATTAAAAGGATTTTTTTTTCACCACCTTTTTGTTTTTAGGGGTAGTTCGCCTATTTTCATTTTTACAGAAAAAAATTATTAAGAAAACTTGTACATTTTATTATTTTGAACAACTTTTCTCTATAACTTTTTTTTGTAAAGTTGAAAATAGGCGAACTACCCCTTAAAACAAAAAGGTGGTGGAAAAAAAAATCCATTTAATACAATGTTAATTGCACCTATTTATATGCCCTAAAGGCGAGAAAAGAAAAAAAAATTAATATATACCCCTAGAAACTAAAATTTCCCTCAGGGAAGTGTCCCCCCGCTGAATGGGGGTGAGTTACAAAAAAAGTTGATTGGGAAAAATTGTAGGAAATGTAATTTTATAGAACTTTTATTAGCAATTTTTTTTTGTAAAAAAATAAATTAACTTTAAACTACCCCTATTGAAAAACGGCAGGGGGTGAGTAAAAACTTCATTAAGCAAAAATGTTGTATGTATTATAGAAATTTTTTTCACGTTAGTTAAAAATTTTCATTTTCATTATAAAATTTCAAACGGCCCTTATGACCACAGACAGCCCTTAATCAAAAAAGTCTTTAGATAAACATTGTAGACCAATTAATGCTGCACATCTTTTATTTGAAACATTTTTTTGTAAAATCAATAGGTACCAAGTAATCGCCAATGGCGCACTTTCAACCCCTATAGCGCAAAACGCCAGAGGGGTGAATGTTTGATATTTTCGGTTTTATGATCACCCACCCGCCCCCTATCATCCCTGAAAAGTTCATTTGGGTAGGAATTTTTTTTTGCAATGCATGTATTTTTCGACTATTTTCCTAGACTATCACAGGTGTTCAAATTCTCTGTAAGTGATTGACTTATTTACAAGTAGATGGCGACATCTTCAATATCAATTTGTTTACATAGTAATTTACAGTGGACTAAATAATTTCATTCAGATACAAATAAAATAATAGTATTTCACATGTTTAGCTAGGTGAAACAGTTTTTACTGGCGTTTAAAAGAAGTTACTTTCCTTCCCGAACTCAGCGACATCTTTTAGAGAAGCGCTGAACATACGTTTGGTTTGAGTCTCTGCTGTAAATGACAGCAATAAGCTCCTTGTCAGTCCTTATTTGGCAGATTTTGATTAATTTTGTTATAAACACATTATAATTTTCGTAAATTCTGTTCTTTTCATTTATTCCAGCATTTTACTATCCGAAATGTTCGACATTTATTGTTGGTGTGCTACTCTATATGTTTATCCCTTTTTCATTTAAATCCGTGACCAAAATTTGCATATTGTTGTCAACAAAATGGTAATAATTTTACTATTTAGAATGCGTATTTTGCAACCAAAAATGCCTGAACTTCTACTCCAATCTATTATTGTTATGAACATAGCTTCATTTCACGGAAAAGTGGTCTAAATTTGGAATTGAACAGGAATTAATGAAGGTCTGTAAATGACATTTTATTTAAACGCCCTTCTTAAATTTGCCAAATACTCATCATGAAAATATAAATTTTTGTTGAAAGGTTCTAAAAACACTCAAATCAATACGCAGATTTTGCACACTCACACTTCCCATATCACGCAAACTTTGTAAAACAGGCACAATGCTCTTTCATCAGGTGGGTGGTCTTAGGAAATTTTTCCCTGTAAATTATGGCAGCTAAATAGGAATTTTGCAACGATTCTGCCTATTCGACGTTTGTAAATATTTTATTTTCAGAAAAGAATAAATTACACGCGCTTCCAATGCTTCAAATAACTGAGAAGACGAATCAAGTGTGTGTGTTGTGCTATGTTGCCAGATGCTTAGATACCGATTTACAAGTGAAATTTACATGTTGATTTTTTCTTCAGGTGAAGGAATGACTTCAAGCAGAAGATTATTGGCAATTGTGAGCTAGCGAATAAGGGAAAAAATAACAAATCCTTTCGCACACAAAGAAAAACGGTTCAGCTTAAAGAATTGGTTAAATCTCGGATCAAATTTGTGGCTGCGTTAGTGTTATTTTGCAAAAAGCATATTCCCATAACACCTCTACCCTTACATAAAAAACTCATGATTAATCCATAATAGTCAATTAATTAATATCCAACTCCATGTCCCAAATATGGGTCATGCAAGATAGTGTTTTACATAATTGCCTTGTTATACCACATTACAGGAAATAGCATTATTAACATATTCATCTCAAATTTATTGACAAAATTAAAATAACCAACATGGAAGTTACCACAGCGATTATAGACATCTTAAGTGTTTTTTAGCATCAATTATTTAGAGAAAGTTTAAGTTATTTACTATCCAAGTGAACAGCGATAACGTATATTACAGGTTAAGTACCTTATACCTACCTGATTAAATATTTAGGTATTTGCTACGCTTATTGTTAATTCGCTTAAGGCAATTCGTATAACAATAACTACAACTGCAATCTAGAAAATCCAAAATATTGAAGAATAATATGTTCATTCAATCAAATACCACTAAATAAAAATTGTGTTCACCCATTTCAAAATTTATTTTTCCCATTTCTCGATGAGGTTACGCAAGAGTAACTATGCCTGGAAACATAATTGGAATCTCTATAACCTAATAATCCTGTTGAGCTAGTTTAATTTCCAATGTTTTTACCGTGCCTTCCAGAAACGACTCTCTCCAATTAAAACGCCGCATTGAAGTTTAAAGTTGTGTGCAAATTTAATTATGTCTGGCGATAGACAGAGTCTAGACGACATCGCCATATTTTTGATTTAATTAATCCATGTAGGGATGTTGAAACGTTTGAAAATACTTACAAAGATGTATAGCAAATATTCGTTACATATTATCAATCTCTCAAGTTGGGGAAAATGTTGTTCAACCTAGTTAAGAATCGGATAATGAAATAAGTGAAACGGAAGTCGAGTCAGTTGCGATTTAGTTTTGAACGAAGTGTTCTTATAGTTCTAGTTTCATCGTGTTGTCTTGAATAAAGGAAAACTAATTTTGAAAATTGTGTTTGTCATCATCATAGATTTTCATTGAGTATCGGCTGCATCAATCCAGGGCCTCAAAATAAGCTTGAAAGGTGAAGCGAAATAATAAATAATAGTATTTGTAACAACGAGAAATAAACATTTAAAAAATAACAAAAAGCAATAATGATTTCCGCAGATCCGTTTTCACACTGTAAATTATTACGCATTGTCCTGTGACATTAATATGCCTAATAAATTTGAGTATACGCTAAAATAATTAACAACATTTTAAACGGTTTGTTTGTAACTAACTACAGCTTCAATTGAATAATATATTCATCCGCAGAATATATTATAATATTTTTGTTTGCCACCATGAAATTTATTAAACAAATACCTACATGAATCAATTTCTGTTTATTCATTCACTCGACCGTGAAAAGAGGTTTTGTTTTCAAAATAATTTATTTCAATTTGTTTCGGCGAATTAAACTTAATTGATTTTTATACATACCAGCATATGAAAATATTGGATGATCGTTTGAATGGTTGGCAAACCTGGACCAGTAACACAAAGTGAATTCTTTCAAGTCTGGTATGTCAGTCTTGTACTGGATGTATTGGAAATACAAATCTTGCAAAAATCCTACTTTGTACAGTGAGCATTGGTCGTTGTTGTTTGGGACTTCTTCATCTGGATATCTGAAATTAATAGACGATACGTTTGTAGAGGGAAAATTGCAATGAAACTGATTAAGTATGTGGATTATGATCTGCCCAAGTCACTACATCCTGATCTTCTAGAGTATATAAATTGGTTGCCTAATATATGAAATTTTTTTGTTTAACCAAGTTTAGTTCATGATTTTTGAGTACCTAGATATTTCCCCGATTGGAATGCTCAAATATAAGTTCGCCTTGCTGCTCAGTCAGCAGTATATAATTTTAGGACCATAACGAATTTCTTTTTCTCAGTAGATATATTAAATTGGGTTGTGATAGGCGTGTATTTTAAACTACTTTCCCTTTCAATTACTCCCTTTCAAAATCATACTTTAGATATTCGTACATACCAAAAATTCAACTCGCGTAGGTGCCTTTTACATAACATTTAATTATTTGAAAAATAAGCTGGTTTTTCAATCATGTAAAGTGTAAAACCAATTAAAATTATTCAAGTCGTTGAAGCGTAGGCATCAGGTTGCCAAGATGTAAACGGTTCTTTCTCTTACCAAACAGAAAGGAAATTATAATTTATCAAGGGCAGCAGTATTTTGCCGCTCAAGTTGGCAATCGCTTATCATTAATAATTCTGGATTATTGAAATACCAGCGATTTAAATATTATCGAATATTAATCGAATGAATATTGTAATTACAACTTACTTTTAGTTCAACGAATGTATGTGAGATTTAATTGTTATACATATAAAAATAATGATTAGTGTAAAATGGTAAATATTAATTATTATCCTACACACGCTAACAAGTTTTGATATGTACAGAGGGTGTTTTTTTAAATATTGACACCCCACCTACAGCCTTATCCTTTACAGGTAGAAGAAAGGTGTAAATACAAAAGCTGTAGAGTTTTGGCTGAATTTTTAGAAACCATGGTCAGAAACAAAATTCGAATGTCAGAAATGTGAAATTTTGCATGCTTTCAGCTTTTTTCAAATGGGATGCCATATATTTCATTCTACACGGAGAAAAAAATATAGTACGATTTATTAGAAAAACATTACGGCATACAAGATTTCATAATACTATATAGGACGAATACCCAGTTTAGTACCATTTACAACATTTTTATAATAATTTGACAATAAAATATTCATTATGTTATGTTGAATAGTACCAAATTTAGTTTATAAGATATATAAGGAATATATTCTTATTTTCACTATGTGTGATATTACCGTGCATTATGTGCTTTTTATATCTTTTATGATATTTTTTTGTAGTTTTTATTAGCTAGTTTAATAAATTTCAAAATAAATTTTAGTTTGTTTTAAAATATTTTCTTTTAAATATTACAAACTTACTTTTTCAAATTAAATGTTTATTTTAATAAAATTTAATATATTTTTTACTTATCAGTATTATAATAGCTATTTATATAACAAGTACATAAAGTAAGGCTTTATTGTACGAATAATTTTATGGCCGAGCGAGCTTGCGAGCGAGGCTATTAAATAATGAGTCAATAAAGCCTGTTTATGTAAGCGTTATATACATGATTTTATGTACGATTGCGACTGATTTTTGTTAAAAATTTAAAAAATTTAACGAAAAAAGTAAAATTCGCGTAGGTATATCTGTTTCACCTTGGCAAGTTGTCAGGACCTGTTTCACCTTGTTAGGTTGTCCAGGTAGGCAATAAAGTAGCACTTTATTTTACTAGTACAATAAAGTGCTACTTTATTGACGCAAAACTGTTCTATAAATAGCACTTTATGTCCGATTGACCAATAAAGTGCTATTTATGGAACAGTTTTGCGTCAATAAAGTAGCACTTTATTGTACTAATAAAATAAAGTGCTACTTTATTTTACTAGTAAAATAAAGTGCTACTTTATTGCCTACCTAGACTACCTTACAAGGTAAAACAGGTCCTGAGAACCTGCCAAGGTGAAACAGGTCTTGACAACCTGCCAAGGTGAAACAGGTATACCTACGCGAATTTTACTTTTTTCATTAAATTTTTTTAATTTTTAACAAAAACCAGTCGCAATCGTACATAAAATCATGTATACAACGCTTACATAATAGTATATTATGCAATGATCATGTAATGATAGCCATTAATACACGAGCATGTTGTAGGATACGAAACGAGCCGCAGGCGAGTTTCGTATATAACATGCGAGTGTATTAATGACCATTACATGAGAGTTGCATACACTATTTTTTCTACTGCCATTGATAAAACTTGATATGATGATATTTAGATATGTCAACATTACGCTTAACTTTGAATAGAGATGTTATAATTGAGTAATCCATACAGTTGAAGGTTTCATTTTTTGTTGTAATTCTTCAAAATATACTATCAAAACATTTTCTGAGAAGGACGATGTGTTTTTGGTGTTTCCAATCCATAAATTGTCCATATAATTTTTCGCAAATTTTCTTGGACTTGTCCGGTAGTATATTATTACCTGCATTTGTCGCCCTTTCTGTAATTTCTGGAGGTGTTAGTGAAAATTCTTCGTTATCACTCAATATTTCTATAATAATGCCTTATCCCAAACATTAGGTAACTTTTAATAACAATTCGAAGTATTTTTTTCATGAAATTATTGTTTTTCGCTAAATTACCATGGAAAAGCCATAAACAGAGTGCTGTTATCATTCAAAAAAAAAAAAAAAAAAAAATTCTTAACTGGTGGCGCCATCTATTGACAATGTATAATACTGACAAAAGTAAAAATTCTTCCTTATCACTCATTATTTCCATAATAATTATTCTTTGTCCCAAACTTTAGGTAACTTTTAAACAATTCGAAGTATTTTTTATAGTTATCAAAATAATTGTTTTACGCAAAATTACCGTTAATAATGTTTAATATCTTAACTAGTGCTGCCATCTATCAACATTGTATAATATTAAAAATGAGTATTATAATGAAAATCTGTATCGTAATGAAGTTCATTATAATACAGATTTTAATCGTTTAATAGCGTATTATGAAATGTCAGTAGAAAAACAGGCTTTATTGACTCATTATTTAATAGCCTCGCTCGCAAGCTCGCTCGGCCATAAAATTATTCGTACAATAAAGCCTTACTTTATGTACTTGTTATATAAATAGCTATTACTGGTCAATCGGACATAAATTATAGTATTCTTTACAAAAACATTTTATTAGCGTTATAATACTTGGTATAGTCGTATTCACGAGAGAGTTTGAATTTGGACCGTTATTTTCACCAGTTGAAAATAAATAAAATCCACAGATCTGTCCCTTTTTCTGACAACTATCAAATAATGATACATGACATTTTGATTTGACACATAAAAATAACAGATTCGGGTTTTTGAATTTTGAATTTCGAATTTTTGTGTGAAATCTTTCAGTTTTTTGCCGTTTACTGCATTATTTTTTTATTTGTTATTATCGCAATCGGTTTTTTGGTTTTTTATGTAGTGTTCTGTGCCTTTGTGTTTCGGTGTTGAGTTTCACACCTGGTTTTAGTTTGGATTTAAGTGTTTACTTTATTATAAGTGTTTACTTTGGACTCTAACTTTAGGATTTTTGGATTTTAATAACTTAACTTCCTTTAAAGAAATTGAAAATCAATTTTTATCCTGAAATGTATATCACTTTTCTAAATACGACCCTGTCGTTTATCCCAGCTGACGGAATTGAAGCGCTAACGCATGCTGATAACCTAAAGAAAAAGTTTACTAAAAATGTCAACGCGAACTGCCAACTTCACTTTCTATCGTGATTTAGTCTATACCACAGTAACCAACAAAAAGTTTGCTATAAATCAAAAAGATATCCCTAAAAAATTTAAATTAGGCAATGTCGGGGTCAAAAACAGTGAAAGCAAATTTTTCACTGCTTTTGACCCCGACATTGCAAAATTCACATTTTTTAAGAATATATTTTTGATTTATAGCAAACTTTTTGTTTTTTTTTTTTTTACGGATATGCGCACTCGCAAGGAAATGTCCTATCACGCTCGAGAAGCGGCAAGTGCGCGGAAATGTCGGTGTATGTTGGTCTCGAAACGGTTCAGGTTGTAACCTGCAGGGAAAACCGTCGCAGGGAGTTTATTCCACAGTGATGCTGTTCTCCAGAGATATGAATTCTGATATAATGAGGTTCTTGGTACCTCTAGTTTGACAGTAAATTCATGGTTACCGTCTGTTTGACGGGTTCGCCTGTTAGGTGCTACTCTCGGTGGAATCATACGTGCCAACTCTTCAGAGCATTTTCCGTGATAGTACCTGTAGAAGAGAGATAAATCGCCCACAGATCTGCGATGTTCGAGACCATCCAAGTTACGAATAAGTGCGGGGTCATTGATCAGCTTGATAGCTCGTTTTTGCACGGTATTCAAAAGCATTAAGGTATGTTTGGGTGCTGCACTCCATATATGTGAGCAGTACTCCATAGTTGGTCGAATCTGGGCTTTGTATAGTGTCAGCAATTGGCTTGGTGTGTACAGATGTCTTGTACGAAATAGCACCCCCAGCTTTTGGGACGCCCTTTTAGCAATATCTGCCACGTGACTGTGCCAAGACATGTTGGTCTCTGCAGTAACCCCCAAGATGTTCAACTGACTCTGTAATGTGACAGCACTTCCAGATAGCATGATGTTTGGCTCACCGGTGCTGGGCCGGTATTCTCGTTCTCGAAAACGCTCACCGCTTTTTAATCGCTCGGCACTTTTAATGTAAATTCACATATGAAGTGCCGAGTGACTCAAAAGCGGTGAGCGTTTTCGGGAACGAGAATACCGGCCCTGGTCTTTTTTGAAAACAGAGCTGCTTGGGTTTTCTGCGCGTTGAACTGTACAAGGTTTTTGTTACCCCAGTCCTCTATTATCTCCAGGTCGTTATTTATCTGCGATATTTGAGTTAGTCTAAGATGATGGAATTCACGTGCGGAAAGACCTGTGGGTGGTATGAGTGAGGAGACTACATTGCCATCGTCTGCAAAGCAATAAAGTGGATTTACTGTTTTATCT